GTACATGGCAGAGGGTGCAAACTCAATTGTAGGGATCCCTCTCACCGTACCAAGGATCCTGGCATCAAGTAAGGGAGCTTCAATATCATCCAGGCAGTAAATGCTGCACACAGCTCTGATTCTCCAGCCTGTATCTCCATGCACCCTTTCAAAGGTGTACTTCAAAGCAGATTCAGCAGGGGCCAACAGCCCTACACCAAGTCTCTGATTTACATTACATTACATTGAGATTTCTTTTGCCTGTTCCTGGTGCATTTTAAAAGGCCCAATGGCACGGTTGAAAGGGGACAGGGTTAACCCTGAATCCTGGCCAACATTCCCCCTTCTCCATTAAATGAAAAACCCCAGGCTCTCAACTCAGAGGCAGTGAAGGGAGCTCCTGATCACTGCATAATAGCCCCTGTGTTTGTCTCTACACTCGCTGCTCCAGGAGCATTTTCTTTTTAAATTTAAGTCATTTTAGTTCCCATGAAAGGTGCCAGGTGAGTAGGTCTGGAGACTGATTTCCTCTGTTGATCCACAGAGCAGATGTAATGCAAGCAGCAGCAGTGCAGGCTTCCCCTGAGCCCCCCACTCCCAAAAACTCACTCCAATGTGGGCTTGCAAGGCGTGTGGGAGGCTATACCTGGGCATGGTGGGTTCTTTGTAGAGAGTAGCAAGAGATGATGGGGGTTAATTAGTGTCCATTATCCTTCTGGGCACTAAGGATGAGGTTTGAAGAGATTCAGACAGCAGTGCTGACCCCATCAGCTCATTTTCCTATAGGGCTGGCAAGCAGCAGCTGTGACATGGTAGCACCTGAAGCTGCAAGAGTCGCTCTCCTACCTGACAGCAAGGGCACTCTTGCACCGATCTAAAACCACTTCTACTTTAAACTGGTCTTGATGGAGAAATGCACTGCTGTGTCTAAGGGCTACCTGATAATGGAACCACTGGCAAACTCACTGACAGGACTGAATGAACACTGAGTCCAAACAGCAGATAGCTCTAGGCATGGGAACTAACTTTTTATTACACGAGTGGACAGCACCTAGCACAATGGGGCGATGCTCTTTAACTAGGGCATTCAGGATGGACTGCAATAGAAGCCAATTCTAATCAAATGCACAGATTCAGAGAGCAGTAGGGTTGGATGGGGCCTCAGGAGTTCGTGAAATCAATGAACAATTTAGAGCTGGGATGGCTTTTGCAATAGGGATAGAAGGAAAAGGACAAGCTGGGCAGTCTGCAGGACAGCCTGGCACGTGAGGCTGAGTTGCGGAAGAAGGATGCAAAAAGTCAACCTCAGCATGAGAGCTGGCAAGAAAGAAGAGACCCAGGGTCAGCAAAAAAGACAAGTGTCACATGTGACAAAGGTAGACCTTCCCAAACTCTTCCCCCAGTGCAGTCCCAACAGGCAGCATCGCTGCCTCCAAGAGCTGCATATCCTTTTGGTATCAGCTAATCCAGCGTGCAACCCTGCTGACACTTCAGTGGTAGCTGAAGCAGGTCCTTACAGATTTACTAACTGGCTCACAATTTACAGCAGACAGGTTTAACAACTTGGCCCTTTATGAGTTTTAAACATCTATTTTTCATAGAGGAGCAATATATAACTTAGAAGCAGCACGGGTCCAAACACCAATCCCCAGAAGACTCTACTTAATACTTCCCCACTGGACACCCCCCCTTTACGACTGTTCTTGCCCTCCCTGCCTTCTCTCTGCTATTCGTTGCTTGCAACTCATAAAACTAATCGGATTGTCGTTAGCTGATCATTTTGATTTCATTTGGTGGAGCTGGCATTGAACAGAGCCCGGATTTTAAAAACCAAGTTCCAGTTGAGGACAGCTTTCCCAAACTTTGATTGGCAGGGCAGCAAGGATCACGTAAAACTCAAGAGCCAGGATTTCATCTCTGTTACACTGGTGAAAAGGGGGTGGCTCTGGCCAAGTCCCTCACCAAGGAGAGAAGTCTCACTTACATTTGGTTTGGAAGGGTTTTAAGCGTGCTGCCCAGGAGGGAACCCGCATTTGGTCCCATTCTGCCCTTGCACGTTCCATAGCTCTCCTGGTCTCGTAACTCTTCTCTATTTTTGCAGCTGAGGGCACCGCAGCATCAAAGGTTGGGTCGCTCCCATGTTCTCTGCAGAAGCCCCAAATTGCCCCAGGCAGTCACTAGACAGAGCAGATTCTTTACTCCATTCAGACTGGGTGGTCTAAGAGCTTTTCTGGGTCACCTTTTCCTCTGTATAATTCCATCTTGCATTCACTCCAGCATCGAGAACTCCAGAGTGTTTAATGGACAGAGTGTTTAAAAGCGATATTTATTGACCGAGACCTCTGAGCTCTCTCCTGCCCCTTATACAGCTGGGAAGGGAGGTGGCTTTCAAAACAGGATGCCCTTCAGGACACAGCGTCTCATCCAAAATGAGGTCATTTTCCCAGTGAATTTTTCTGTTCTGAAATTGTCCCTGAGCGGGTGGCTATTTTACTGAACCTATCTGCCATTGAGGAGTCTTTGCCGAATTTTTTTGAAGGCTAATTCTGGGCATGGCATTCACTGCTCTGCATAGGAGATGAACTATACCAGAGCCTGATCATTGGGCCCAAGAGGCCACACATGTTCTGGTTTTTCTTCTCTGGCTGGAAGGGTATAGCTGTCAGAACCAGGCTTCAGGCAAGAGTCCTGGCGACTCCAAATCTGAAACGTGTCTCCTGCTAACATCCGCAGGTGCTATCTCAGAAGTCACTGATCCCACAAATGCCAATGCTTGCAACTTCCCCCGCCAAAGGAGTCATGGGAAACAAAAAACAAAAGCTCAGAACAGATCTGCTTAATGATTCATATTCATATTTATGCACTGTTTTGGGGGGGGGGGGGGGGGGGTTGCTGCTGTCACCTAGCTTGGATCAGCCAGCATCTGGCTTAGGGGCAAGCTCTTTTGGGCTCACAGATTTCATAGACATTTTGGCTGGAAGGGACCGTGGAGGATCATCAAGTCCAGCCCCCTGCCCCAGGGGCAGGAATTCAGCAGGGATCATAGGATCTCAGCAAGATAAGCATCCAAAGGCGTCTTGAAGGTGCTCAAAGTAGGCGCTTGAACCACCTCTGGTGGCAGTCTATTCCAAACCTTGGGGGCTCGGACAGTAAAGAAGTTTTTTTTTATGTCCAGCCTGAATCGGTCGCAGCGGAGTTTGTGACCGGTCGATCTTGTCATCTCTTGGGGTGCTCTGGTGAACAGACGTTCCCCCAGATCCTGATGAGCACCCCTGATAAACTTATAGGTGGCCACCAGATCACCCCTGAGCCTGGCTCTCAGCCACAGGACTCTTCCCCCCAGTGTGTTAATCAGCATTTCTCCATAAGCAGCATTCCCCTTTTCCGGCTGTCTGCGCTTTGTCCGGCCAACGATTTATTAAGAATTACACCAATTAAGAATTACACCACTGCCCGAACACATTCTTTGCTGCGATTACCTTGCATTAATATTGAGAGGAACTGATACCTTTTGGCATCTCAGCGTATCCCAAGATTTAAATTTCCCTACTTCCCCTACAGCGCACACGAGCTGCTGTTTCAGGAGCTATAAACGTGAGGCTCTGACTTGTGCTCTGATCAGATGGAATGGGACTCTTAATCCCGTGTGTAATATTTAGACTCAAACACAGTTTCCCCATTCATTATCAGGTAAATAATTTATCCCAGACATAAGCGCGATCAGTTCACAGCCATTATGAAGAATTAATGGCCCACATCAATGTTCTACGCTCTAGTCCTCCAAGGGGAACTTTCCCACAGAGGACAGCTGTGAGAGCAGACAGTTTTAACCTGCTGAATGCCACTTCTTACACACAGGCCAAAACAGAGCTGCGCTGCCTATTGGGCGCGTTTCCACTAAAGCTCTGATCTTTCAGCGATATGCCAAGCCTTTAAGAAAGAAGGCAAGCACTACATGGCTGCTGCACCTGCATTTAGCAGTGAGACGGTTCCGCGTGTCTCCAGTTTGGTCTTCAACTAGAGTAACAAAAAAGCAAGGAGTGATCAGAGCCTCTCTTATATAACCTAATAGACTCTTTTTAGTCTGTCCTGCCATCATGTCAGAGCTGGAAGCAAGAAAGGAAGTTTTAGAAAGCTGGCGAGGGACCAATCTACCGAGTAAAGTGGGAGCTTGGACGCCTGGGGTCTATTGACTTCTTGCTCAATGCTAGGCGCACAGATCTCAAACTCCTGGGTGTATACAATGGGATTAAGTTCATTTGAAGTTCAGGACAGGCTGAGGAAGGACACTAACTGTAAGGGAGTCAGAAACAGCATGATTCAGAGGATCAGGAGGTGGATGCTGGAGTCACTAGGAGACTCTAACCTCAGATAAAAGAATACTTAAGAACATTGAGGGAACTGAGGCAGGGGCGAGTGTTCAAGTGTGCTGTCTCGATCTGTGCGTTCCTTGCAGAAATCAAAGAGCAACTGGTCCTTCTGGACACCTACAAATGCCCAACCAAGCATCTGTTTTCTCAACTATCACATGTCCCTGGAGGGAGAAACTACAAATCCCCATGCAGCTGGACTATAGGAAAAAGGTGTGCCTCAGCTAATAAGAGCCATAATGGGCCCTGAAAGTCTAGAACAACTGGGTTATGATGTCCCATTTCTGTAAAGGGGTGATGAGGGATGTGCCAGAAAGGCCAAGGAAACAGCAAATGCTGCAAAATATTCAGTGGAGAGGAAACTGAAGAGAATATGAGCCCAGTAAGATGGGGACCAAATACAGCAGCTTCGTGGCTGTGCAGCTTGGGAGCTTCCCCAGGGCTGTGTTACACATTCACATGGAGGCTTTGTTTCCTAAGGGATGAAATAAATCCTTAAAACACTGAGAGGCAGGGGTGCGTTCTCTGTCACTTATACAGAGTGCCGTAGTTTCCAAGACTAAAGACAACGTGGTCACAATGTGCATTTGCTGGCGCTGTGACCCATCAGAGCGCACAGGAATCTCATTTAGGATGGAGTTTGATACCTACAGTGATGCACACGGGGCTGAGCTTCTGGATAGCATCGGACTGGTTCCAAAGGCCTCATCAGGTGGTGACACCACTTGTGGCAATGCCTCCTATTGTGCTGGGGTCTTTGAGAGGGACGTGGCTGCTGCCGGTGCTCCTGCTGCCTCTCCTGCCGGGATCGGCTTCTACCAAAGCATTCCAAAAACGTGGGTGTAACCATTGCCCTGCCCACCCGGTGCCCAGCAAAGGTGTCCGCTGTATGCAATGTGACAGCTACTCTGCGCACGTCGAGCAAACAAATCCAGCCGCACAAGGTTCTCTCGCTCTGTGCCTGAGCAATGATTGTTTCTGAAAGAAAGTAAGCCCGATCACAGCTCCAGCTGGGGCATTAAGCAAATTCCATTTCCGAAGATTCAAAGATTATTGGGAGGGGGGGAAAGTGTGTGTCTGCACTGGTCTTCCTCCGTGACATAATCCCAAAGAAGCTCGTGCCCGAGAGGCAGCCCATCTGGTGAGCACTGAATCTGCAAGGGACTGGGGAGACAGAACAAAAATCATTTGCACTGGCCTTTTCACTCTGCCGTTTCCAGAACGCACTTTGCACTCGCAGCTGCAGGATACGAGTCACTCTCTTTTTTATGGATCATCTCCAAAGATCCAAATCCTTTTACAGACACATTTTTAATGGGATCCGGGAATATATGCTACAGCCCTCTTTTATCCAAACAGGCCATGCATAAGCACAGCTTTGGAATTTGCATGATTACTTTTTGCTATATGCTTGGACTACTGGAGATTATGGCGATTTGGGGATTTTAAAAAAATTTTAATATATTGCAGGAATTCATCTCGGAACAAAATAATACTGCCTGATTTTTCTTGTTTCACTGGGATTTTAAAAAATATTTTAGTTTATTATGATTTGGGGGCCTAAAAGGATAAAACATACATAATAAATTACTGTAGAAATAATATCCTTATACTATGTTTGCGGGAGTTTCCCTTGTATATATTTGCTCAGCCTTCATTCACATATACTGTTAACCTTAATATGAGTACTGGCAGGTTTCTCAGGCAAAACTCCTTCAATTATCTTGGTACAGATCCAAAAGAAATCCAGGAACCTCTGCTTAATAAAAGATAAAACAGACCAATTGTTCTGTCAGGGTTATGGCAGAGGCATTTTTAATCACGTACAGTGGGCTAAATTCTGTCTCATTCAATAGAAGATAAACCAGATTACTGTTCATGAAGTCAATGAGAGTTTGGTACGTGTAAGAGACCCCAAAATACATTCTTAAAACTTCGGGATCTTAAATACTATGTCCCTAATTCAGGAAATGACGTAGCATGTCCAATTGTCCATCCATGTTTAAGTGTTAAGTATGTGCTTAGATCCCTTTGACTTCAAGGGATTTAAGCATATGTCTTTTCCTGAATCAGGGCACCCTGAGATCCAGGACCCACCTCAGGCAAAGTTTCTACCTGCTTTGATGGGAGTTATGCTTGAATAGGAAGCCTGTTATTTAGCTCCTCACCCTCTAAAGTAATTGTGGAATTGGTTGTATACATTTTTCTGCTTGCTGAATTTCCAATAGCAAAGGAAACTATCTTTGTATTTAAACTCCTCTTTATGCTCAAACCCTGCCCCAGCTTTCTTGTTATACGCTCCAGTACAGATACACGGGAACAGTTTCTTGAGGAATGGTTTTTAGTTATGTAACTAAAACAAATTTTCAGAGGTGCTGCAGATCCTCAGCACCCACTGATTTCAATAGGATTTACAGTGGCCTGATGCCTCTCAAGATTCAGTTCGTTATTAATTCCCCGTTGCAAAGAGATTTTCATAGTCCATGCCTGGGCCATTAGAACACATGCAACAGAGACAAATTACAGCACTCGCTCTTTTACTATAGGACATTTAACCAGACGAGCGCTTGGAGAGATTTCTCAGCTTTGTTGAAAGCTTTTACAACTGCTTTTTTAAAAATTTTCTTTTTAAAAAGCTTTTTATATTTACTCCCTCTTCCCCCTCCTTTCCTTTATTTGTTCTCCGTATGTCTAGGCAATCGGGCTGGGAGTGCAGGGGTGATACTGCCACAGACTAAATCCACGCATATTTTTCTATTATTATTAAGGTTCAAATTTTGTTACGATAGTGCTCCAAAGATTCCTATATTCCAGATGGCATTGCATACATTACCGCATATGCTAAATGTAAACAAATCTATCCTATCTTTTGGAGAACTTTCTGTGACATATAGCTTCAATAACTGTTTTTCTTCAGTTCACATTTGTGCAGGTCTGTTTTGTTATCTACCTCCATGACTCCCCCAGGCCAGGCAACTTGTTCCCTAACTTCTATTTCTGCCACTCACTTATTTTAATAACCTAACAGATTTAAAAAAAATGCCTTCCACTTTGCACACCCAATTAGCTCTACCTTTTGTTTCCATTCAGGTTAGGAAATATTTCCTTTAATTTGAACTATCAATGCTATAAAATGTACCCAACTTTTTGCCTGGGGAATGCACATATTTAAAACGGCTGCTGATTTCAACACTGTCTGTCATCAGCGAGCTGCGGCGTGCACCTCCAGTACTGACATACCCATGGCCTGTGATCAGATATTTGAACAATTTCTCCCTTGATTTTACCAGACTCTGAGTTGATAATTGCTAACTAGAGAAAGATTAGAGTATTTTTCTGTACTGATGCCAAAACAATGGGGCTTTTTAACTTTAAATGAGTGTTACATTTCTGTATTCAAAGTGTCCAAGCAAGAAAATGGATCTCAATCTCTCACATACACATGCTCCCCTCCAAACCCACCTGCACCCCAGCATTCATACCCCTCCTGAGCTTTTTAGACTGCAACAGACTCCCTCCAACCACAGAGTCAATAAGCTGCTATAGTTACTTACTTTAAAGCACAACTTCTGCTGGCCAGACTGGGCAGAACAAACTTCAGCCTGGATTTCCTATGAAATCCTTTAAAAAAATAGAAATAAAAAACCCCAGCACTCAACCCCACCGTGCCTAAGGATACCTGAGACACTGGTTATTGAGACAGCCGTCACTCTGCCTTCATCTTAGGCGCAGCTGCATCACTCAGAGCAAAGCCAATGAGGGGAAAGCTATGCAAATGTTTCAGGGATGTGCTCTACTCCTCTGGCCTCCTGCCTTGCCTCTGGCGCACGCATTGTTGCGGTGATGAATAGCTCCTTCAGTAGCGAGTCCCCATAGGGCAGCGCTGGGAGGACAGGTATGCTCCCTTCCAGCAGGCAGCTGACACATGCAGGGCAACAAAGGGGTCTCTAGTGAGAAGGCACGTTCTCTCCATCGCCGCTCGAAGCAGGAGGTCATGAGCTGCTTCGACAACAGAGGAAAGAAACACCGTGTTTTGCTTTCAGCGGCGTACGCTCCACACAAAGCATAACAGCTTAATATGCCTGCAAACACACTCCTGCCCTGTCCCCATCTGAGTACCCCAGCCACCACCACGGTGCCTGCTAAGGAAGCTAAGGATAATTCATTCCATTATCCCTCCGGCTTGCTGAGCCAGAATAAAGGTGGCAGTAAATGACATCAGCTCGACGAAGAGGCCACTGGGATTCAGATTGTGATGTCTTGCGTTAACTCAGCTGAGCTCAGACAAATATGACATGGAAATTACAATCTGCTCCAACAGAGTTTGTAGCTGGTGAAAAAAAATGCTCCAGTCTCCAGCCATTCCTAACATAAGCGACAGGACAGATGAACCTGGCAGCATCGAGACTCCTCCTAAAGAGAGAGACCCCCCCAGGACACATGATCTCCTTTCCCTGACATGGGTTTCCCTATATAAACAATGCAAGTGCTGTTTGGTCCAGAACGGCTTGGTTATATCCTTATATCCCTGTCTCCTAGTGGAGAAGGCTTCTCACACATACAGATGCATCACATACAGAAGCCGTACAATAGCTTCATGCACCATGTACAGTGTACATCTGTATTCAGACTTTCATGCAGCAAGATGACAAATGTCATCCATAAGATTGGATGGATGGATTCGTTAGAGAGAGATGCTTATACACTACATAGTCCATCCATCATATGATTTTATCCATCACAGGATGATGGTTCTGGTGGAACCGCAGCTGGGATGCTGCATTCAGATCTGGGCACCACATCACCAGAAATTCACTGACGTGATGTAGCCAGTTCAAAGGTGCCCAGAGCAAATGATCAGGGCACTGGAACAAATGACAAAGGAAAGTAATTGAAAGGAGCTAGATCCATACCCCATGACTGTGTGTGGACTGAGGGGGTGGGACTCAATACCAGCCTACAAACATCAGGAAGACTAAAACTTTTACTGTACACCAAGTCCAGCTAGTCAGATATAGCCAAGAGAAGAGTATAAGAAAGATGAGAAGGAAAACTGAGAGGAGAGAAGGCCATGGAGAGAGCTTAACCCCTGACACATCAGATTCCTTACGCCTTCTAACATTAGCATTATACGGTATGTGGCTATTCATGCAATGTCTATAGATGGCCCACCACTTTTCTGACCCTGTTAAGTTCTAGACCTCAGCGACTGAGTGTGGCAAACTCAGTTCAGCTCCGTCAGGTGGTAAAAAATTGAAATCACTACCTTGGCTTTGTTCTGGAGACACAGAACAAGAGGCCTCACTACCATTGTCAGTCCCACACCGCATTTAGTCCACCCCTCCTAACAACTTAGAGGCCTTGTCCAAGAAGACCTGTAGGACCTAAAAAGAGAAGAGCTGCCATAAATCTCCCAACTGCAGCATCTGGGCGTGCTTAAAGACCATTTTACCTTCACCATCCCCAGATGCGAATGGCAAGAGTTCTCTTCTCCAGTCTTTGGCCTTTTGTTCCTAGCTAAACTGCCTCACCTGGGGGAACTGTTTAACTCAGCGATGCTTGACTTGGGGCCTACAGGCCAGATTCAGCCTGCAAAGGCATATTATGCAGCCTGTGGGTCTCCCAACGGGGCTGGAAATTTGGGGGCAGGGAGCAGTGGCAGTGTTAATTGCTGCTACTCTGCTGCCAAATTTCCAGGTGCATGGGGAGCCCTGTAGGCTGGACGGTTGAATAAAAGTGTTCACATGAGCCAGCGTACACCCGTGTAATTTGAACTGGTAACGTTTTCCTTAGTCTCTAACACGCCAGCGTAAATGAGAATCATTCCCCTTGCCTCAGCATTTCCTTGACACAGATTCTGCACTCTGCCTCCTTTGCCTTTGTATCCAATACCCATCTGGGAATTCAAGGCCTATTCTATTAAGGACCAGGGACTTTCTGCCCTTGTTGACCCCTGGCTCCTATTTCTTCATTACAGGACAGCGGAGTCCCTTGAGACTAACAAAAGCCTTTCAATCTGTCATGATGACATTAGGGTAAGGCATAGCTCAGGAGGCTAATGTGTGTCCTCCTTGACTTTTATCAATGATGGAGAAGGACTCGCCCAGAGGGAGAAAAGCACTTCAAAGTGCAAAATCAAATGAGCCTTGACAGGGGGAAGCAGG